GAATATCTACATAACTCTTTTATCTGCTCTGAACTGTCTGAATGTTCTTCCTGATCTTAACTATTTTGGTTGTAGTTTCTTCTACAAGATTTGGGGCGAACAATTTTTTATCACTCACTTCTTCCTAATAGATCGGGGATCAACATAGACGGTCATACAACACCTCGTAAAGAAACATGTCAATACTTGCTTGGTAGTTGTTATTATAGGCAAACTTTATTAGGGGTAAATGATCATCCTAATGTCCCCCGAAATCAAAAACACAAGCTCAGAACATATCTTCCAGTGTGCGGATCGTCCTTTCTGATTGTCCATCGGTCTGAGGGTGGAATGTAATATTAAGAGACAGTTTCGTTCTCATAATTTATTGAAAGCTAAACCAGGATAGAGAAGTGAACCTGGGGTCCCTGTCGGACACTACTATCACTGGCACTTTAAGCAACCTGACTATCTTCTGGATATACATTTTTGCTACCTTGTCCAGGGGGTTGGTCATCCTGATGGGTAAGAAATAGAAAGACTTGGTGAGCCAATCAACAATTACCCAAATAGCATCATGTCCCGAGCATGTCTTAGATAATAATGTTACGAAATCCATTGTGATATGTTCCCACTTTCACTCCAGAATCGGTAATGGATGAAGTAGCCCACCTGGGCATTGATGCTCTGTCTAGACTTGTTGATATACCAAACACTTGGAAACAAAGTCGGCTACATCTCTTTTTATCTCGTTCTACCAAAATCAGGGTTGCATACTTTGATACATCTTAGTGTTTCCGGGATGCATGGCAAACTTTGAGATATAGGCCTCTATCATGATATCCATTTTCAACTCACTGTCACTTGGAACACACACCCTGTATTGAAATCTAAGCAACTCATCGGTAGAAACTTGGGTTGAACATTTAAGTGGGCTAAACATGTGACTCTCTTCAGGTCCTAAAGTCATACCTGTTGTGCGACCTCTATTACCCTGTATTCTGAAACCATCAAGTGAGCTAATATACCTGCACTTTTTCTGCTGAGTGCATCGGCTACCACGTTTCCCTTACCTAGGTGATATAAGATATTGCAATCATAATTCTTGAGGAGTTCTATCCATCTTCTCTGACGCATGTTGAGATTCTTTTGAGTGAATATGTATTTTAAGCACTTATAGTCAGTATAGATATGAAATGTCTCCCCATACAAGTAATGGTGTCAAGTTTTCAAGGTATGGATAATCGCAGTAAGTTCTATCATGCTCTCAGGGAAATACTAGCCGAACTCTTAGCACTTTCGAGCATATTCTGATATAGTTATGTCACCCTGAACCACGTGTGTAAACTCTATTTCTTTCAGATGTCGGAGATGCTCTGGAAGATACTCTGCATTAAAGACCGTCAAGAATTTATTTCAAGTGACTGAAACGGGTAGGGTGGCCTGCTTGAGTTGCCACCAACGGTCTGCCTCTCCCACCAGCATATACTTAATAAGTATGACTCTCTGTTCGAGAATCACCCCAAGAGTCGTGAAGGTCTTCTCTATCTCAGCCAACTTGTACTTAGCCTCTTTAAAGGAGGATGTCCCTACAAAAGTAGATGGGTTTTGTCTTTATACATCTCAATGTAGCTTGGGTCCATCATGAGAGGAACGGGATCCCGTGGAAGATAGACTGGATTATGCTGAGGATGGACTTGATGGCCCTGTGGTGGTACTGATGATACAGTGGAGGTACCGGATTGTATTGTGGTGGTGTCGGGTGATGTGGTTAGGGCACCGGACTATACTGTAGTGGTGTAGGTTGGTATTATAGTTGAGGCACCGAATCATACTGTAGTGGTACTTGATGGTACTGTAGAGGAGTAGGGTCGTACCGGAGCGGCTCAAGATCCTCTCACTGCAAGGGTGGCTCAACTTATGACAGCGGGAGAGGGTCAGGTAGCTCCCTCCTTTTCTCCCGAGCCTGCTGGGCAATGATGAGTCTCTCCAGCATTTCAAATAGTTGGTCAACAATTTCTCAAAGCGAACCTCCCGAACTGCTCGGTTTAGTGGGGGTCTTCCTCTCCTCATCTATTTATACCTGCGTTTCACAAGGAACAGTTGAATGATAATTCATGATTTTTGGTGTTTCATAAGGATTTTGTGTAAGGAATGGTTCCGAGGAATGCGGCTCTGATACTAGCTGTAATGGCCCATGAACTTGAAAGAAAATAAATTATAAATTAAGTGCGGAAACAAAATAATAGCGTTATAGTTTATATTCCTTACACAATAGTTCAGGATACCCAATATGGCTACGGGAATGACCCTTCTAAAAGAACAACTAATAATCAAAGAAATAAATAAAAAATAAACAAACTGAATATCCTACTCGCAATCCTCTTGTGGATCGGGCTCTGGATCTTGGTTCTCTTTATCTGAAATGATTAATTGAAAAAATAAACTACACTAGCCCAGTAAGAATATCACGCTACTCACCTACACAGAAATGAAGGTTGGTAGAAATCATAAAAACAACTAATGGAACTCTTAATTCAAATAAAATTCGTTTATCATAAATAAAATCATTTATCGTATGCTTACCGTAGTGAGATTTTCAAAACTGACATATGGAGTCAATAACATAACAATATCGTAATTTCATATTCAATCAGTCGGAACAACAACTTTCTTATTTATCAGCATAGTAGTATCCATAAGGGCCCATAGAGATATCTCCACTACACATGAATTATTTTTTAATATTTTCAACTAACGGGCCATCCTTATACCCCGTCCAGTATGAGCGTTAAGAAATGTCATCCCTCAATACCTCATTCGGTATGAGGGTGGAACGGGTCATCCCTATACCCCGTCCGATATGGGCGCTAAATTACCAATCTTCGATACCTCGTCCGGTATGAGGCAATGTTTACGGTAAGGTTTTCTATATACCCAATCTATCCACTATCTCCTAGTATATCCAGTAAGGCTACCATTCATCCTTTCACTTAATCAAACAATCTCTTATTTACCTTTAATTTCTAGTTTCTCAATTTTAACTGTAAATCACGTAAAACATGCAATACGTGTATCAAGGAAACATAATTGAGTTATCATACAAATTCCAATATATTATCATGTATTCAAACTGTAAAATCAATCAATCAGCTAAATATGACAAGCAGTAATAAATAATCGGTTCTAACTCCATTAGTAACTTATAATTAATTATGGATATTTTCTAATTTGTACAAAAGACCACATTATTTATAATTAAACTTAAATTCTATAACAAGGAATAGGGAGAGGGATTCTTACTCAAATTGATGTCTAAAATGCTAAGTTTTTCAACTGCGCATACTGGCAGTCCCTGAGTTCCCTAAATTTTCCTTCAGAGATTAAAACACACTTCAAGTACCTAGAAATACCTCCAAAAAGTCCAAAATCAGTATTAGAAATCTTTTTTGGCCAATTCTGGAACTCCGGCACGGCGACTCCCCTATGCTACGGCGACAGCACCGCCATCCGTTACAGCGGTTTACCTCGAGTTTGCCGTTTTTGACCGTTTTTTACCAATTTCAGTAGGTTTTGTACCCATCCCTGCGATAAAACACGTTAAGGGGCCTCAGTTAGTCGAAAAAGTCGAAAAAACTAAAGCTTACCGGCGAGGGAGTTTTCCTGTGCGGCGAGTCTGCCGGCTTACCTTCACGGTTAGGTGTTTTACTTTGGTCAACCTGTAGAAAAAGGAATGGTGATTACAATGGTGGAAAAATTTACACGAAACGGGAATTGAGAAGGGCCTCATCAGATGCAGTTTTTTTTTTCTCGCGACGGTGCTGCTAGGCTTTACCCGCGGTTTTCGCTCATCTGCCGATTTTTTTTGTTTTGATTTGACCATGGAGGTGTTCAAAATTGAATTTCGAGCGAACGAAAATTTCTTTATCTCTTTTGGCGGTCGGAAGTGGCTCCGGCGCGGCGACAGGCCGCGGTCAACTCCCTTCCCGACGACTGGCTCTTCTTCTCCAGCAGAGGAGGGTCTGGTTGCTAGGGTTATGGTTTGGTGTGAAGATGGGTATTTATATCCATCTCTTTTCAATCTGGGTCGTCCATCGCGTTTGATCTAAACCATCCGATCACATTTAAATAGGAAGTAAATCTATACCGTTCATCGCGATTTAATCTAGACTGTCCGAACGCGTTTAAATAGGAAGTGGATCTGAACCGTTCATCGAGATTTGATATAGGTCGTCCGATCGCGTTTAAAGGGAGAACGGATCTGGACAGTTTGTGCGCGTGAGAACAAATCTGAACCGTCCAATCGTGGGCATATGGATCGCCAGCGTGGCCTCCCACGTGGAACCGCGTCAGCGTGCCTTACCACGCGGCGCGGTCCGGTTCGTCAGGGCTGGTGACTGGGCGTCCTACGTGGCACAATTTTCTTAAATTGCATTTTGACCTCCAGTTTCTAATTTTTCTTTTAAAAAAACTCATATAACCCAAATTTTTCAACTCTTTTTCCCAAAATTGTTTTCAATTTCATACTCCACCTATTTTTTCTTTATTTTTACATTAAATAAAATTTTAAAAATTATATTTATACATTAATTTTAAATATATTAAAATTAATTAAGGATATTACAATTGAGTTCGTGTTGTAATTACTATTCTTGAAGTAAATTTATTACCAAATTTTATTAACGTACAATTAGTTTAATAAACTTTCCAAATAAAATTTTATTTAAAAAAAATTAATTTATTATATAAAATTTCTAAATAAAATTGTATTAAATTGACTTTTTGTAATTAATCATTTATTAACCGAATTGTAGATATTTCTATTATTTTTTTTATATCATATTTTTAAAAATAATTATCAAAATCGATAAATTAAAATTAAATAAATAAAATTTTGACACTAATTAAAGCATGTTGTATTCAATTACTTTCTTAAGCAATAACTTATGAAAAAAAAAAAAAAAAAATTATATATTCGACATAATTTTATTTGAAATAACAATTTTAATAAATTATATGTTTTAAAGAGATGTCAAAGGAGTAGGATTTAAAGACGCATAGCTAAGGAGATGATTATCATTTTGTAATATCATCATCTCCTCTTCATCCATGGTGACCCAAGCTTCTATGCCATCACCTAAGCTGCTCTCAATTAAGACAACAATGTTCGTAAATAATGGAGCTTCCATTCCGATGCTGCTAACCCACAGAGGTTTTCCCCACCCAAAATCAGCTTCGTAGAACCCAAGCTTACACCAACTAGAGACACCCAAATAATCCGCTTCGTCATTACCAACAAACTCCTTTATTTCTTCTACAAAATCCAACATCATTTCTTTCCCTTTCTCCCCTCCTATTTCCTTTACAAAGTCACCGTTGATTTTCGATATTCCAACTCTAACCTCCCTTGCTAAGTGGTCCAGCTCTCTCTCCTCATCCGCCCTCAGTCGACCACTCGCTACCCACACCTGATTTCCCAACGAATTCTTCGATGCAGGATGTGTCATTCTTGTCCGCAGGTTCACGGCGTGAGTCAACAAACAACGTCTTGGTATTCCATGTTTTTGTTGAGATGCTGCCGTGGTGCACTTCCATATCAGTGCCGAAACAGCCTCCACTCGAGTCGAGCTTCTTGCTCGGTCCTTGAGGCTGGCTATTGCCGGCGCATCAAACACAAATCTCCTTGTCACAAACTTGCCTTCCTTCAGCCACGAACCCCATATCTCACTCGCAAAATCTCCGAGCCCTAAGGCCTCCTTCGCGGGGAAGAGACTAGTGGAGACAAAGCTTACTGACAATAAATCGCCAATATCAATATTCTTGTTGCAGGTGTTGTCACGAGCATTAGCACTCCAAACCTCAAGGAAGTTGCCGAGTGCAGCGCCATCAACGATCTTGTGTGAAACGCACATGCCAATAGCAATGCCTCCGCACTCAAATACATTAACTTGGATGTTGGTTACGTAAGCTCCCGCAATTGATCCTCTCAAAAGAAAGGGTTGGCAAGGAAGAAATTTATGCAATAACAAAAGATCAGGCTCAGAAAGAAATTGATGGAGGGTGCAGTTAACTCGAGCCTCCAAGAAATTAGCCCCTTCGTCGTCACAGTCGATGGAACAATAATCTTTCATCTTTCCAGCAAGAGGGTAAAAGAGAGTTAATGTTTCTGATAAAGATTTCTTTAGCAGCTGCAGTCGTTCTAGGGTACTGTGTTGATGATGGAGATGATTGTTAGTGCAGTGACTACCATTTTTGGAGAAATCATAAAACAGGAGAAGTGGGATATATGAAGAAGGCAAGAACTGATCTAAAAGAGAGAGTTTGAAGAGTCGAAGATGCTGGGGTGTGGGAGAAGATGGTTTTATGTTCTCCTGAGAAATGATTTCTACTTCCATTGTTATTGTATTTGGTTCTCCCTGACCCTGCGCTATGAAGACAATACATACACATATATATAGAGGCTAAACTTTATTTAGACAAGTCTACGTACAATTCTAAAGGAAAAATATATATTGTGAAAAAATAAAATAATTTCGAAGAAGAAAATTAGTGAAGAATGACTATATATATATATATATATATATATATATATATCTTGTTGAACTGACGAGTTCCATTAGTTTGTGTGTTAGTAAGCAAATAAGAAGCAAATCCTCAGAAGTTAGGTGCAGCATCAAGGAAATTTGACGTATTAATATAGTTCATGGTATATTGGATTTTGATCCTGTTTTCACTTATAATTTCAAAGTGAATGCAGTTAAAATTTATATATATATATATATAGAAGTATGTAGCTGACCATGAAAAGGGGAGTTTTTCAAAGTTTTATAACGTGAAGCTGACTGATACCCTTGGAAAAAAAATTTGCTGCCACCAATTATATTTACATGTAATTCTAACACGCAAGTACTTTTTTATTTTCTCAATATTCAAGATTAAATTATATCACGTACATGACATACATATACATGATATGGAACATTATATAGTTGTTTCATTTCAACTTATGAAATTTCTTCCCAGAGGAAAAGTCAAAAAAAAAAAACAAAAAACAAAACCTGTATGACTTTTCTTCTTCTTCATTTCCAGCTTCCATAATTCCTTCGTCTTCCTTCCCCTGATTCACGCAATAAGAGTCAGTAATGGGGGGCGGCAAAAGGAGAATGTTTTAGTTTCCATTTCTACGTGTAGTGAGGGGTACCAATTGAATTGTTGGTACAGAACTAAGGTCGGACGAAAATTACAGTTTTAACTTTACTAACTCATCAGTCAGATATGTTCTAAACTAAAAATCAGGTTGTGGGTACCTCCGTGCATCCTGTGTGTTATAATTATGATACTAATTTGATGAACTTTATACATTTGAAGTATGCATTACTTTATTCCCCCAAAAAAGTATACATTATTTTATTAAATAAATATATAAACTTTTAAAATTTGATTATACTATAGTCAGATGAATTCTCCTAGTAACAACAAAGACCAACTTATATATATATATATACATATAGAGAGAGATAAAAACATGGGTTCCTTACTTGTACTTCTATTGGTTGGTATAAAGTTACAAATATTTTCTTTTATGATTGGATCTAGAAAGTTGTAATTTATTACTCAAATATCTTCAATTATTACGGGTGCATTAATAGTTTGGAAGGCACATATCCCTATATACATTATATCTAATATACATATGTATATATGTCCATCACAAGATGAAGTGGTAGTTGACAATCAATTTGTGGTGGTATTAAAGGGCACACAGTATGAGTTGAGACAGAGAACGAATTAAATTATTGATTCTTTTTCATGTAAAAATCATGTTAGCTCAACAGGTGGCTTTAAAGCTGAAACCAATAAAGCAAGAAAGCTTTAAAAGAAAAAACGTTTTATTGTGGGGAAGGAATCTTTAGTTCAAATATATATATATATATAGATGGTTATGGTTATGGTTAGAGGAAGAACAATGTAGTGGTAGAAATATTCAAACTTACACTAATTAATACTGGAAAAGTCCAGCATTAAGGCACCTAATCAATCACTATATTTGAAAGATTTGGCATCAGAAATTCACCATCCAAATATTCCTTATGAACTTTACAGTAACGGCACCAAGACATCATTTCTAAATGGTACTTCGTGAAATAATATTTGGAAAAATAGAAAATATTCACGTGTAACAATAGGAACATAAAATTGAAAAGAGAGATTTGGTGACCTTTAGAGCTTCAAAAAGATTACCTCCAAATGAAATCTACAATTTGCTGTTCGTCCCTGAAATGCTTCCCATGGCTTTGGCCTTTTGCTTTAGAACATACTTCTGAGTTTTTCCTGTTGAAGTTTTTGGCAGATCCTCGAAAATAATAGTCCGAGGAGCCATATAATGTGGCAACTTATTCCTACAATAAGTAATAAGTTCAGAAGCACTCACATCACACCCTGCCTTTAACTTAACAAATGCACAGGGTGTTTCGCCCCAATACTCATCAGGTCTTCCCACAACTGCTGCTTCAAGCACAGCTGGATGACTAAACAGAACAGACTCCACCTCAATTGTGCTTATATTTTCTCCCCCAGATATAATTATGTCTTTGGAACGGTCCTTCAATTCTATGTACCCATCAGGGTGTCTCACCCCTAAGTCACCACTCCAAAACCATCCACCTTTGAATGCATTCTCTGTTGCTTTCACATCCTTCAAATATCCATTCATCACAGTGTTGCCTCTAAACATTACCTCACCTATGGTTTTTGCATCTGCTGGCACACTCTTCATGGTTACAGGATCTTTGATATCCACTTCCTCCATCCCAATATGCTGCAATCCTTGACGGGCTTTGATTTTCGCTTGTGCATCGCGTGGCAGGGAATTCCATTTAGGTTGCCAAGTACAGACTGTGCCTGGTCCATAGGTTTCTGTTAAACCATAAGAATGCATCAACACAAAACCTAGCTCTTCCGTATTGTAAAGAACCTGAGGAGGAGGTGGAGCAGCACCTGTCATCACTACCACTTTCCCTGGAAGAGGCTTTCGAT